AAAATATGTTATTTTTTTTATTTTTTTTTAAGAAACCCTCTTCTTTTAGATTTTACACTTTCAATAACCGTGTTGTGTATTGGTGTATTTATTATATGGAGTCTGTCAGTGCTCTCAATTTTAAACCATTGTGTGGACTCATCAGAATATAATCATTAGTTTTGAAAATTAGCAGTTCATGTAATTACTGTAATATTCTATTAATAAGTAGGACCACAGAATTTAACTGTAAACAGATTTGCTATTAACTGAGTTAGTGCCATTATGCAGCAAGTATCAATGTTAAAAGTTTGAAAAACAAGCCTCATTTATTACTTGCAGCTTTTGAATGCTAATTACATACTACACATATCTGTACTGTCTACACATACTATTATTCAATCCATTTTAAAAATTAAGTATACTAAAAAGGTGGTTGAAAATGTGATGCATCAGGTGATACATGTTTTAGTAACATGTATAGTTGAAATTTGAATATCAGATTGTTTAATGAGAATCAAGTTATACATGCAAATTGTGTAGATTTTCTAAAAACTGCAAAAATTATACAGATTAGTCTACCAAACTTATGAGAAGAATGTTACTTACTTTAGCAAGAAATAGTTTTTTATATAAAAGTAGTGGATTAAGCCTTACTTTAGTAAATGCTTTAGGTAAAAAAATGCTCATACTTTTTTCTAATGAAACTAATAGTTCTCCTTGCTTTAGAAACGGGGAAAACTCAAGAATTAGTAGACTGTTTTTTCTGAGAAAGATGTATACATATATATATATATATATATATGTATTTCTAGGGATGATAGAGATTGCTGAGAGCAGTGATGAACATCGAGTCAACAGTTTGGGCCGTGGTAGCAATCCAAGAAGAAATGTTGTAATTGTAGACGATGAGCCTCAGCAACAAAAGACGGGATGCTGTGGAGGATAAAAACAGTTTTTTTTTGGAATAATCAGATATTTCCTGCAATGTCTTATATATTTTCTAATTTGTATTATAAGAAAAGTGCAGAGAAGGTTTAAGTATTAACCTTGTTGATTCTGGTCAACATTTAGAATCTGAAGTAGGTATTAAAGTCTAAAGTATTTATGTATGAGATTTCAAAATCTTATAAATGGTTTAATTTAGGCTGAGTAAATTATCTTGTTCACAGTGAAATTGTATTGGATAATTTTATTAAACAAACCACTAATTTTTATGATTCAGGTTTAATGAATAATTTACAGAGTCTACCAAAAATGATGCATTACGAAACTTATATTGGATTCCCAAATTACTAGTTTTGTGAATGAAACTAGAAATTGTGTAATTAATGGTATATCTAGTGAAATATTTTTAAATGAGTCATACATATCAGGCACTCTCACTACCAGCAACAGAAAGCATTCATTGTATTTGTGTGTATACATCATGCTTTCTCTGTTTCTCTGTAAATTCATGTGTCATACTCAAAACAGAAATATTTTCAGTTCTCAGTTTCTGAAATGCTGAAGAAAGCTACTTTATCTTTAGACCTTCAGAAATTTGCACTATTATCTTCAGCTTATTCAAAAACTCATTCATATAATGTGTTGGAAAGGCGTGTACAAACACAGTTTTATTGGTTTCAAATTAAATGTTTATACCAATGTAAAGTAAATGTTGACTCTATTTTATATTTAACCTGAAGAATTTTATATTTGAAACACAGTTATGTTTCTTGAAACTTGCCAGCTATATCTGCTGTTAAATAAGGCCAAAATATGTTTTTCTTCATCCTAAACTTAAAAGGAATTATGCTTTTAACCAAGGGAGCATTGAAGCTTTTGTACAACTAATTTCAAAACTTAGGCTAGTGTGTATTTTAAGATTTTATATGTCAGTGTTTGTGTGTTTAATAAATAATTTCTTTTATCATAATTTTTCTAGATAACATTATAAGAACAGACGTAATTGTTTTCCCACTAGGAGTTTACCTAATATAAGTGAAATCATGTGCGAATTGGTAAGCAAAAACTTGTGAAAAAAGTTTGCTGAATTAAGCATTTTTATTTCTTTCAAGGATTCCTTGCAGGATATGTAAAGCTTCTGGATAAACAGAAGTTAAGTATAGGTTATCCTTTATTTACGTCTTTGTTCAATTAATGGTTTATTTTTATCTTTATAGAACTATGGTGAAATTAAAAGAAATTATTTGGCAGTTAAATAAGGCCAAAATATGTTTTTCTTCATCCTAAACTTAAAAGGAATTATGCTTTTAACCAAGGGAGCATTGAAGCATTGTGTGTGTGTAACAATAACTTGTTAACACACATTGTACATCAGCCTTTCCAAAATTACATTATACTATAATATAAACTTTTTTTTTTCAAAGTGTTTAAGTGTCTGTTATTTAGTACCTTGTTATTTACCATTAATGGAAATTCCCACATTAATTTTAATTCTGATGATATTTGTTTCATTTTTCCTTTTCCTTCCTTCATTTCAGAGCAGCAGCAAGAAGTTGTGTGTGTTTGTGTAAAGTTTGTGAACTGATATCAGTTACAACAGTCTTGTACATCAAGAGTCATTAGTATTTTTAATTAAGTATTACAGCCTTTAGTAACCAGGCCATTGCACTTTGTATATCAGCTTTTTATGTATAGTTAAGGTAACTTGTATACAGTATATTTGCTTAAATTAATATGTTCAAAACATTTCATGTAAAAAAAGTAAATAAATTTATTGGGATAATATATAGATATTAAATTTGTCAGTGTCTGTGAAATTATTAACAGCTAGTAATAACCTTTTCAAACACTGAATAAAAAAACTTTTAGTGATAATTCTTTGGGTAGTTTTGAGAAAATCATATATAAATCCAGCTTCAGATTGCCAAGAAGTAGTAACTGGTTATAAATTTCTTTCAATATTAGTCTAAATGGCCCAAAGTTAAACTTGAAATGAGAAGCAAAATTTTGCTGCATTTATTTATAAGTTGCATAACTCATAAATATTAAAACTAATATATAAATTAATGCTAATGTTTTGTTTAATATTGAGAGTTGTTTTTTTCTTGTCAACAAATGAATATAAATGTTGTTTTATCTTCTTAATCCATATATGATGTTTAAAATTCAGTTTATAACTTTAAAATAAATTCTTGAAATGATTCACAGAAACATTCAGAATAAAAAGCATAAGATTAATGGTATGGGAAGGATAGATATATTAATAATAATATGAATAACACAAGGTCAGGATAAACAGTAAAAAATTTGATTAGTAACACGTCAAAAACCTAAAATATGCAAGAAGTTCCAATTTTAATTCTAAAGAATTTTATATTTAGTTGATTTTTTGACTGTTATTATTCACTTTTGCTATAGTTACTTCAAAGTAGCTTTTTATTTTATTTTTCTGTTAAGTCTTAATTTATAAAGAAAAGAACACGGTTTGAGTGTGTAAGTAATGCCATCAAGATGTGTTGTAAGTTATCTTCACTTTTCATCTTTCCTTGAAACATAAAACATGAGTGTCATAAGTAACAAATTCTTTAAATATTTACTTTCAACAGTCACACTTGAAATCATATTCTTTAATGAACTTAATATATTTCAATTAATATTTTATGAAATACGAAAAAACTTTTCAGTAGAGTGACATTTGTAAGACTTGATATTGAAAAAATTCTTAACATAAATTTTCTGTTATACCTGAGACAGAAATATAATTTTTCTCACAGCGTCTTATAAGTTACAGTGTCAAACTTGTTGAAAATTTACAGCCACTTAAACCAAGCAAAGCTTATATGATTTATCTGTCACTATTGGGAAAAATACTAGATGCATAATAATCTATTTAAGTTTTTTAGTTTTGTATTAACCATTTTTAAATGCTTGTGGAATTTTTGTGAGGCATATACTGTATACTGTGAACCGTACCCTAAGTGATAAATCAGCAGTTTAATGGATTAAAGTTTCTAGATATCTTATTATTTAAAGAATATGTTAACTCTTATTTAAAAAAATAGGTTCCAGTAATACTTGGAAGTTTCTAATGCAATTTTAAATTTTAGTAGATTAACAAAATGTAAGCAGGTGTCAGTTAGCCCTGGGCCTTGACTGTAGTTTTTAATTGCTAAGCTGTGTTTATTGCATACATTTTGAGTTAAATATAAATTTTAATGTCTTGAAATTTTTAAGGCTTTGCTGGTAAAGATAACCATTCTCAGCCTACCTGTTTCATTTATTTCTGGAATTCTTACTGTGGCTTGAACTTGTTCGTTTAAATTCTTAAGAATAGGTACTCTGCAGTATATCCACTTTTAATTTGGGTTTTAGTTTTCAGCTGACAGTTACTTTTAAAGGGGAGTTATATAATAATTGGATAATTCTGTAGAACTGATAGTTTTTGTAGGCCTTGCATATATATGTATATATAATTAGTCAATCTCGGCATTTTGTGGAACATTTTTATGAACCATTTATTATGGAACAGTAAGAAAAAGATTCATTTCAGTGCAATTTGTTTTCATACTTTATGGCTGTATTATACTAAATGAAAAAGTAAATACCAATTAAAACTACACACTATGGTAGTTGTTTCTTTGTATGTGCTTTTTTTTATTAAATAACATTGGTTACCTATCTTGAACTACTTTACTAAATAGAAAGGGCTAATTAACACAAAGTCAGATGAAGAAGGAATCTTGAGGTGCAAGAGTTTGATACACTGAGGAAATAAGTAAGGATAGTGCTGTTATGTACATGCTTGAATTGAGAATTCCTCCAAGTAAAAAGAAATCATATAACTTGCTTTATTGTACATTACATGTTTGTTTTATTAATAATTTTAAACTTGTCTGTAAAAATACTAAAGGGTTTAAGCTTGGCTTAGTGGCTATTCTTTCATGCTGCAGGTTGAATGGTTTGGGGCTTGAGACATGATGTTGTGAACATGCTTCACTTTTTTTTTGCTATGGGTATACTATAAAAATAATTTTATTATGTTTATTTAGCTCAAAAGAAGTATACAAAGCACTTATGGCAGCAAGCACTGCTGACTAGATGCCGTTATAACTGAATCTTAGGGTCTTTGACTTATTAGTATGGCTCCTATGTACATAGGATGCCAATCATGTTGAAAATGTTATTTAAAAGTTAGCTATATTCAAACCTTTATATGGTAATAGAAAATAGACTTAAAGAAGTGGGATTTCTTCCTTGAAGTTAGTTTGTAACCTATTGTAACATTAAATAATAACTTACTAGTGTATTTTATGGATATTATGCAGTGAATATTGTAACTTATATATATAAAGATATGTTTTATGTTAGACTGCTTTTGTTATGCAATTCAAAGATAGTTCTTAAAAAAGAAAGTTTCCAGTGTTGGAATGTGGTTGTACTTTATACAAAAACTTTTTAACCGGTATACGTTTATTGTAACAAAATATTTTGCTGTTTCAACTGACAAGAAGACTGTGCATTATTAGAAACAATTGTCACATGCTGGTCATCAGCTCATTATGAAGATTGAATGCTGCAAAATTGAAAGTAGTTTGTGGCATAACCTAATGACTGACTTAGCAGTTGTGATATATATGCCAAAAGATTTTGTGTGTGTGGTGCATTTGTTTGAATATATGTGACGTTGGAAAAGCTTCTGTATTTACAGTTTGATTATTTTAAAGCAGCTGTGATGAGTCAGGAGCACTGAAAACTCATTGAGTACCTTGGGACACTCCAACTTGCCAATACAATGGTCGTTTAATTCAACTGTAATAAATTCAAACAGTTTTGAAATAGACACTTTCGTGTAAAGTATACGAAGAGTTATTTGCATATAGCTGCCTGTATTTCTTAACAGATAAGATCAGGGAAGGAGACAGTCAACAGCATCTTGTCTTACCGAATAGTAAGATTTTACCATACTCTTACAGTTCACTCACGGCTTAAAAGTGAGGAGCTTGTTTTTGAAGTAACGTGCAGCGAACAAACAACCACTGAATTCACGATCTGAGCACCCTTATTACTAGGTAATGTTTGGCTAAATTGTGAGAAAAGACTTAACAAAACAACCATTCAAATTCTACAATATATTTAAACGATTTCTTTTTTAGTTTACCTACCGATTTACGTATAAGTATTATTTTATTACAAGTTACAGCTTTTAGACTAAATGATATTTTTAAAACAGGTACGACATTTCGATCATTGGTGCAATCATTCTCAAGTACAATAGTTTTTACGGTAAACTTAAATACTGTTACGACAGCGAAAGTCACGCTACGCTGGGAGCATGCGCGTTGGAGTTTCTCGAAGGATCATGAATTATCGAGTAACACCGCGAATGTCCGAGTGTTTTCGAGGCGCCCTCTTTTTTTAGTATATAAGCCCGGCAAATAAAGCCAGCGATAGATAGATTGAAGAGATAGATAATTGAGTAAAGCCAACAGTAGGCACCGTAAGTAAAGTGTGTGAATCGCTGTGATTTATAGCGTGTGTTATAAGGTTGTTTAGTTTAAAGTGAATGTGGAAATTCTGTGTATTACAAAAAGTTGTATCAAGAAAGAATAAACTAATTTTAATTAAGAAAGGACTT